GATATATAGACGCAGAGACAGACAGATATATATATATACATGCACAGACAGAGAGATATATAGACGCACGAAAAGATATATAGACTCACAGACAGACAGAGATTTATATAGACGCACAGACAGACAGAGATACGCACAGACAGACAGAAATATATATAGACGCACAGACAGACAGAGAGATATATAGACGCACAGACAGACAGATATATATAGACGCACAGACAGAGAGATATATAGACGTACAGACAGAAAGATATATAGACAGCAAAAAAAGACTGAGATATATACACGCCAAGACAGACAGAGAGATATATAGACGCACAAACAGACAGAGAGATATATAGACGAACAGACAGAGAGATAAATAGACGCACAGACAGACATAGATATATAGATGCACAGACAGACATAGAGATATATAAACGCACAAAAAGACAGAGAGATATATAGACGCACATACAGAAAGAGATATATATTGACGCACAGACAGAGAGATATATAGACGTACAGACAGAAAGATATATAGACGCAAAGAAAGACTGAGATATATAGACGCACAGACAGACAGAGATATATAGACGCACAGACAGACAGAAACATATAGACGCACAGACAGAAAGACAGAGATATAGACTCACATACAGAAAAATATATAGACGAACAGTCAGAGATATATAGACGCACAAACAGAGATATATAGAAGCACAGAAAAACAGAGAGATATAAAGACGCACAGACATACAGAGATATATAGACGCACAGACATAGAGATATATAGACGCACAGACAGAGACTTATATAGACGCACAGACAGAGAGATATTTTGATGCACCGACAGACAGAGAGATATGTAGACGCATAGAAAGATAGAGAGATAAATAGACGCACAGACAGAAAAATATATAGACGCAAAGAAAGACAGAGATATATAGACGCAAAGACAGACAGAGAGATATATAGACGCACAAACAGAGATATATTGACGCTTAGACCAACAGAAAGATATATAGACGCACAGACAGACAGAGATATATAGACGCACAGACAGACAGAGTTATATATAGACGCACAGACAGAAAGAGATATATATAAACGCACAGACAGAAAGAGAGTTATATAGACGCACAGACAGAGAGTTATATAAACGCACAGACAGAGATATATAGACGCTGAGACAGAAAGAGAAATATATAGACGCACAGACAGACAGAGACATATAGACGCACAGAGAGACAGAGAGATATATAGACGAACAGACAGAGAGATATATAGACGCACAGACAGAGAGTTATATAGACGCAAAGACAGAGATATATAGACGCATAGACAGAGATATCTAGAGGCACAGACAGAGATATATAGACGCACAGAAAAAAAGAGAGATATATAGACGCACAGACAGACAGAGATATATAGACGCACAGCCAGACATAGAGATATATAGACGCACAAAAAGACAGAGAGATTTATAGACGCACAGACAAACAGAGAGATATATAGACGCACAGACAGACAGAGAGATATATGGACGCACAGACAGACAGAGAGATATATAGACGCAAAGACAGACAGATATATAGACGCAAAGACAGACAGAGATATATAGACGCACAGACAGACAGAAATATATAGACGCACAGACAGACAGAGAAAGATATAGACGCACAAACCGAGAAATATATAGACGAACAGACAGAGATATATAGACGCAAAGACAGAGATATGTAGACGCACAAACAGAGATATATACACGCACAGAAAAAAAGAGAGATATATAGACGCACAGACAAAGAAATATATAGACGCACAGACAGACAGAGATATAAAGACGAACAGACAGACAGAGAGATATATAGACGCACAGACAGAGAGATATATAGACGCACAGACAGACAGAGAGTTATATAGACGCACAGACAAAGAGTTATATAGACGCATAGACAGAGAGATAGATAGACGCATAGACAGAGATATATAGAGGCACAGAATGAGATATATAGACGCACAGACAGAGATATATAGACGCAAATATAGACTGAGAGATATATAGACGCACAGACAGAGAGATATACAGAGGCACAGACAGACAGAGAGATATAAAGACGCACAGACAGACAGAGAGATATAAAGACGCACAGACAGACAGAGATATATAGACGCACAGATAGACAGAGACATATAGACGCACAGAGAGACAGAGAGATATATAGACGCACAGACAGAGAGATATATAGACCGACAGACAGACAAACAAATATATATATACTTACAGACAGACAAAGAGATATATAGAACAGACAGACAGAGAGATATATAGACGCACAAACAGAGAGATAGATAGACGCACAGACAGACAAACAGATATATATACTTAAAGACAGACAAAAAGATATATAGACGCAGAGACAGACAGATATATATATATACATGCACAGACAGAGAGATATATAGACGCACGAAAAGCTATATAGACTCACAGACAGACAGAGATTTATATAGACGCACAGACAGACAGAGATACGCACAGACAGACAGAAATATATATAGACGCACAGACAGACAGAGAGAAATATAGACGCACAGACAGACAGAGATATATAGACGCACAAACAGAGATATATAGAAGCACAGAAAAACAGAGAGATATATAGACGCACAGACATACAGAGATATATAGACGCACAGACATAGAGATATATAGACGCACAGACAGAGAGATATTTTGATGCACAGACAGACAGAGAGATATGTAGACGCATAGAAAGACAGAGAGATAAATAGACGCACAAACTGAAAAATATATAGACGCAAAGAAAGACAGAGATATATAGACGCAAAGACAGACAGAGAGATATATAGACGCACAAACAAAGATATATTGACGCTTAGACCAACAGAGAGATATATAGACGCATAGACTGACAGAGATATATAGACGCACAGACAGACAGAGTGATATATAGACGCACAGACAGAAAGAGATATATATAAACGCACAGACAGAAAGAGAGTTATATAGACGCACAGACAGAGATATATAGACGCATAGACAGAGATATCTAGAGGCACAGACAGAGATATATAGACGCACAGACAGACAGAGAGATATAAAGACGCACAGACAGACAGAGATATATAAACGCCCAGACAGACAGAGAGATATATAGACGCAAACACAGACATAGATATATAAACGCACAGACAGACAAAGATATATTTATACACACAGATAGAGAGATATATAGACGCACAGACAGAGAGATATGCAGACGCACAGACAGAGAGATATATAGACGTCGAGACAGACAGAGAGATATATAGACGCACAGACAGACAGAGAGATACAGACGCACAGACAGAGAGATAGATAGACGCACAGACAGACACATAGATATATATACTCACAGACAGACAAAGAGATATATAGACGAACAGACAGACAGAGAGATATATAGACGCACAGACAGACAGAGAGATATATAGATGCACACTCAGACAGCGATATATAGACGCACAGACAGACATATATATATATATATATAGACGCAAAGACAGAGAGATATAAAGACGCACAGATAGACAGAGAGATATATAGACGCACAGACAGACATATATATATATATATAGACGCAAAGACAGAAAGATATATAGACGCACAGACAGACAGAGATATATAGACGCACCGATAGACATATATATATATAGACGCACAGACAGAGAGATATACACGCACAGACAGAGAGATATATAGACGCACAGTCAGACAAAGAGATATATAGACGAACAGACAGACAGAGAGATATATAGACGCACAGACAGACAGAGAGTAAAATAGATGCACAGACAGACAGATAATTATATAGACGCACAGACAGACATAATATAGACGCACAGACAGACATAGATATATAAACGCACAGACAGACAAAGTGATATACATACGCACAGATAGAAAGATATATAGACGCACAAACAGAGAGATATATAGACGCACAGACATAGAGATATATAGACGAACATCTAGAGATATATATATACGCACAGACAGTGAGATATTTAGATGCACAGACAGACAGAGAGATATATTAGACGCACAGACAGACAGAGAGATATATAGACGCACAGACAGACAGACAGAGATATATAGACGCACAGACAGACAGAGATATATATAGACACACAGAGAGATATATAGACGCACAGACAGACAAAAAGATATATAGACGAACAGACAGACAGAGAGATATAGAGACGCACAGACAGAATTATATAGACGCAAAGACAGAGATATAAAGACGCACAGACAGAGATACATAGACTCACAGACAGAGATATATAGACGCACAGAGAGAGATATATAGGTGCTTAGACGGAGATTTAAAGACCCACAGACAGACAGAGAGATATATAGACGCACAGACAGAGAGATATATAGACACAGAGACAGAGATATTTAGACGAACAGACAGACAGAGAGATATACAGATGCACAGACAGAGAGATATAAAGACGCACAGACAGACAGAGATATATAGACGCACAGACAGACAGAGAGATATATAGACGCACAGACAAACATAGATATATAAACGCACAGACAGAGAGATATATAGACGTTCTTATACGAGTCCTACTTATTATGATCAAACGCTTTTTTTTTTCAGAGGAGATAAAGAAACATTTGGTTCTCCTGACAATGGATATTTCCTTGAATGAATCGAGTTTGTAATAATATTTGATTTAATTTTAGCAAGCTATATAACAAAATTGGGAATAGAAGATCAGTTTTCTGTCTTAAACACTCTACGTTGAAATCAAAATTTTTACAAATTAGGTAAGGGACTTAATTTAGAGTGATTTAAGATCTGCAGAGTACTTTATGTATAGATTTTGTTACAGACGATTCCCGTATTATTGATCAGCACACAGTCATTGTAAAGAATGTTTCATCAGATGATAGGGTCCATAGCGTACTTTTTGTTGAACTTTCTTAAAGATGGGTAGCCACACAGGGAAGAGCATGGTTAAGATTTGGCACCGTAAATTTTTATTTTTAATTTTTTTATTTTTTTTATGGTAGTTTTGTTGCGATCATAACAAATACATACACACATAGAATAGAGTCATTGATTCTTTTGCATTCTTAGAAACAGCTTTTATTTTGTTTTTTTTCCCTCACTTGAAATCTACTTTGGGATATAAAAACCAGAAAATAGTTCTTTTAAGACATTTATTTACTGGTACTTCTATTTTACAATATGCTCACCAATTTAGATTAATTTATGAAGTCCAGCCCGAACTTTCAATACAATTGTCATTTATAAATTCCAAGTTTTTGAAATAAAAAGAGAGAACGATATCTAGTAAATAATGTTTCACGAGTAGTGAAATTCATTTATTTTCTAAACTTCAAAGCTAAAAAAATATTTAGATTTATTCAGCTGTAAAAAGTTGTGCTTATTGAGTAGGGTTTAGAGCGGTAGAAATACCATTGATGAGACCTTGAATCTCTTGGGCAATGGTCAACAGTGACCTTGTTGTGGGGTGAAGAGCAGTGCTGATGCCATCAATAAGTCCCTGGATTTCTTGGGCAATGGTCAACAGGGATCTCTTCTGTGTTGGGTTGATGGCCCCAGTTATTCCGTTAATAAGTCCCTGGATCTCTTGGAAAATGGTCAACAGGGATCTCTTCTGTGTTGGGTTGATGGCCCCAGTTATTCCGTTAATAAGTCCCTGGATCTCTTGGAAAATGGTCAACAGGGATCTCTTCTGTGTTGGGTTGATGGCCCCAGTTATGCCGTTAATAAGTCCCTGGATCTCTTGGAAAATGGTCAACAGGGATCTCTTCTGTGTTGGGTTGATGGCCCCAGTTATTCCGTTAATAAGTCCCTGGATCTCTTGGAAAATGGTCAACAGGGATCTCTTCTGTGTTGGGTTGATGGCCCCAGTTATTCCGTTAAAAAGTCCCTGGATCTCTTGGAAAATGCTCAAAAGGGATCTCTTCTGTGTTGGGTTGATGGCACCAGTTATGCCGTTAATAAGTCCCTGGATCTCTTGGAAAATGCTCAAAAGGGATCTCTTCTGTGTTGGGTTGATAGCACCAGTTATTCCGTTAATAAGTCCCTGGATCTCTTGGAAAATGGTCAACAGGGATCTCTTCTGTGTTGGGTTGATGGCCCCAGTTATTCCGTTAAAAAGTCCCTGGATCTCTTGGAAAATGCTCAAAAGGGATCTCTTCTGTGTTGGGTTGATGGCACCAGTTATGCCGTTAATAAGTCCCTGGATCTCTTGGAAAATGCTCAAAAGGGATCTCTTCTGTGTTGGGTTGATGGCACCAGTTATGCCGTTAATAAGTCCCTGGATCTCTTGGAAAATGCTCAAAAGGGATCTCTTCTGTGTTGGGTTGATGGCCCCAGTTATGCCGTTAATAAGTCCCTGGATCTCTTGGAAAATGGTCAACAAGGATCTCTTCTGTGTTGGGTGAAGAGCAGTGCTGATTCCATTGATGAGTCCTTGGATTTCTTGAGCAATGGTCAAAAGGGATCTTGTAGTAGGGTTCAGAGCTGTGGTGATGCCACTGAACAGTCCTTGGATTTGTTGAAAGATATCTAACAGAGATCTCTTTTGTGTTGGGTGAAGAGCAGTGCTGATACCATTGATAAGACCCTGGATTTCTTGAAAAATGTTTAAAAGATTTCTTTTGCCATTGATAGCTGCGTCTAATGCATGGATTATAGCGCCAGCGGTGTTGGCAATGTCGACAACATTGAAATCTTCATCTCTTGTGGTAGGGTGAAGAGCTGTGCTGATACCATCAATAAGTCCCTGGATTTCTTGTGCGATGGTCAACAGTGATCTCTGTTGTGTTGGGTGAAGAGCAGTGCTGATTCCATTGATGAGTCCTTGGATTTCTTGAGCAATGGTCAAAAGGGATCTTGTAGTAGGGTTCAGAGCTGTGGTGATGCCACTGAACAGTCCTTGGATTTGTTGAAAGATATCTAACAGAGATCTCTTTTGTGTTGGGTGAAGAGCAGTGCTGATACCATTGATAAGACCCTGGATTTCTTGAAAAATGTTTAAAAGATTTCTTTTGCCATTGATGGCTGCGTCTAATGCATGAATTATAGCGCCTGCGGTGTTGGCAATGTCGACAACATTGAAATCTTCATCTCTTGTGGTAGGGTGAAGAGCTGTGCTGATACCATCAATAAGTCCCTGGATTTCTTGTGCAATGGTCAACAAGGATCTCTTCTGTGTTGGGTGAAGGGCTGTGCTGATTCCATTGATGAGTCCTTCGATTTCCTGGGCGATGGTCAAAAGGCTCTTTTTTTGAGGTGGTTTCACAACAACGTTTGCAGATACAGCGGCGATGCAGGCCAAAGCTACCAAGAGAAATTTCATTTTCTGAAATAAAAATTAATTTTATTAAATATTTTATCATTTTGAAGTTTTCAAATATTTTATTCTTGTTGTTTAGCATAGAGATTTAAGAGATTTAAGGCTCAACATTCTTTATTTTTCTTAAGATGTGAAAGTCTTAAAGGCAATAATGAAATAGTTAATATTCTATAATAAATATGTATAACTATACAAGAAATAAGTATACGACCTGAAGGTACAAAATCCTGACTAAAGTTACGAAAACGTATGTACTCTATCAACTAGCTACTTTTACCCATTCTATTTGTATGTCTGTGTATATTATTATGGACTATGGAGTTTTATTACATACTATATATGTATGTATGTATGTATAATATGTATGTACACATTACACTAATACAGGAAACTGCAGGAAACTGTAGTTCTTTTGAATACCAGTGATTCGTTCTTACAATTCGTGAAAAGACAAGACATTAGGGAAAAAAATAAAGAGAAGGTAAATTCAAAGATATTTTCCCTCAGTAGTCTTTATTTCTGATTTTCCCTTATCAGTTAATTTTCGACCACAGTTAACATAATTGAACTTGTTATTTAAAGATTTGTCTGCATAGAATGCACCAAATGCTATTACTGACTAGTATGTAATTAAAGATTAAAAAGTAAGCTCATAAAAACCTACCAGTTTTTTATTTTTCTAGCTTTGAGTCACTAGTGAAGAGCTTACAGCTGATGTGCCGAGAGTTTAAGAGTGTCTTATATACTTAAAGATATATAGGATCGTGACTGGCGTGATTCATTTTTATTTTATCAAGACGATTACGCTTTGCTAACATCATGTGACTAAATTCTCATGGTCCATTCAGATAGCTCCGTTTTTAAAGTCTGAACTAGATATTTTTGAAGGTCTTCGCATTTTGCAAAGTATTCTCAAAGTACTTCAGCAATATGTGGGATCCCTATGCTAATTTAGAAAACTATTTTTAGTGTGGAAATGATGTACTTTTAAGAATAATGTATGACACAGACATAGGAGGGAAACAGTGGATTGCTTCATATATTTCTACAGCATATCATAACGTGTGACGCAAGTATCCGAAACTGTACATGTTTCTCTCTTCCCCTTTTGAATCGATTATCAGCGACAAAACTGTGGAAGAAGGGAAATATGTTGAGTTTTAGAAAACGTTTAAACCATTTATTGTTGTCTACACTGGCTATAAATGCAGCCAGATAGCCACAAGCGGACTTTATTTATCATAAATGAGGTCCACTTATAGAATACGGAAATAAGCTTCTTGGCATTGTTTAATGTGCAATATTATCAAAGCCTCATACAAAAACATGGCCTTACAAAACAGAGCATTGAGCATATGATTATAACTAAGGCTCAAGGAGATGCTAGACGTGTACTCTGTCCCAGCATACACAATGTGAATGTAGCTTCCTTAGTTGCTACCTATGAAATCATTTCAATGATCAGAAAGAATCTAAAAATAGGGCCCCTACAAGTCTGTGTGTCTATCAAATGTTCTCACGTTTTCATAGACTTTTCACTTATAAACCAAAATATTAACACAATTTAAACATGTACAAAAATGACTAGATTTATCAATGTCAAGCCGCAAGTCCGAAACTCAAATCCATGTCAAAATTTCAAAACCACATATCAAAAACTTAGCATCTTGATGTACAGCCTTTCAATCATTCAATTCATTTCAATCATTCAATTCATTTCAATCATTCAATTTGTTCAATCAGTCAAATTCTTGGAAGCATAACCATCTAGTAAATGACTCTGTTGGGCTATTCCTTCTGAGCCTATCAACTCACTCTGTCTGTCTGGTAAATTTTGTGTACACGCTATTTGTCCCACACCCATTCTCGGATCAAGTTGAAACTTTACACAATTATTTCATGAATCAAAAAAAAATTAAAACAATTAGTTTATAAATTATTGGTAATTAATTATTATGTTCGGCATTAAAAAGGGAAATAAATGCTACATTTTTAAAGATCTGGCTGTGTGTGTGCAGTTACGTTTTTTACTTGCTTTTTTCTCTCCCAAAGTTTATTCCCAAGCCTTAGTTCTGCACTATTGATATATATATATATATCAGTGATTTTGCGCTATTCCCCTTAGAAAAGCTTTGTTTTTTTTTTAAAAGAGTATCTATTTTGTTTCTTTCTGTTGCTGCTGAGCGAATCAACGCCTGACTTAACTGACCTTTTTATTTCCCTTGGTACATCCGAAAATTGAAAACTGCTACAAACTGATGCTATACCAAGCGCCATTATTTCCTTTAAAAGTTTTTATTAACTCACTCGCTCTGTCTGTCTGTCCAATAAAAAGTTTAAACGCGTTATTTCCCCGCGCACTTTCTCGGATCAAGTTGATACTTCGTTCAATACATGGATCAATTTTTTTAAAGTAACCAATTTGTCAATTGACTACTGGTATTAATTATTTTGTTTGAAAAAAAACAAGGGAAATCAGTTCTTCAGTATTTAGAAATATTGCTAAATATTTAGAGCTTTGTCCCCATAGATATTTATGCACGTTTTTCTCCCACACCCGTTCTCGTATAAAGTTGAAAGTTCAATAATTATTTATTGCACCAAAGAAAACTTAAATCAATTAAAAAATGAAGCAATTAGTCAATTCTTTATTGGAAATTAATTATTTTCTTTGCTATCGACAAAGGTAACTTCTACATTGTTGAGATATGTAACTGTAAATGGGGAGCTCTTCCTCTTAGATAAGCTATGTTTTTTTTTTGTTTTTTTAGTATATTTTTTTATTTTGCTGGTTTTTATTATAAATTACATTTGGAAACTTTCGGTGAGTAACAGGAACAGGGTAGGTCAGTTGATGTCTATCGACATTAGTAGACATTAGGTAATACTAAGAATTAAACCACTTAGATGTACAGCTTAATAAAGACTTGTAAGGATTTAACAGCAAGGGTCCTAAGTAATATTCAAATTTCAAGTTTATATTGGAAAATGAACTTTATATTCTGAGACCCATTGAAACATTTGCAGATAAAAAAATTGGCTTTTATATGAAATAAATAAAACCTAAGAATTTAAAGTGTTCAATAACTTGGTTTATAAAGATTTCTTTTTGTGTAGTTCTTTCTTTTTTGTTTTTTTTTCTTTTTTAACAATGAAAGAAATATGTATTTGAATGTCCATTTTTTTTTAA